CCTGGGGTTCCTGGTGAGGCTGAGGCTGTGGACATTTGAGATAGGCTGGCACAGCGCTTCCTGGGGTTCCTGGTGAGGCTGAGGCTGTGGACAGTTGTATTTCTGATGGGCAGGCACAGCGCTACCTGGGGTCCCTGATGAGTCTGAGGCTGTGGACAGTTGAGATGGGCAGACACTGTGCCACCTGGGGTTCTTGGTGAGGCCGAGGCTGTGGACATTTGAGATAGGCTGGCACGGTGCTTCCTGGGGTTCCTGGTAAGGCTGACGCTGTGGACATTTGAGATGGGCAGGCACAGCGCTTCCTGGGGTTCCTGGTAAGGCTGAGGCTGTGGACAGTTGTATTTCGGATGGGCAGGCACAGCGCTACCTGGGGTCCCTGGTGAGTCTGAGGCTGTGGACAGTTCAGATAGGCAGGCACTGTGCTACCTGGTGATCCTCGTGAGGCTGCGGCTATGGACAGTTGCATTCAAATAAAATGCCAAATGTGTTCCGCAAACTCCATGCCACCCTGTGGTCCTGGCCATTGAGATGTTTGTCACAGCAAAGATCGCTTCATGTTCCTACCTAGTTGTGTTCCATCTCCCCCTTGTGTGCCCCTTTGATTCTGGACTTCCAGAGTCTGTGCCACCTGCTGTCCTCTAAGCGTCTGCCATCCCCGGTCAAAGTCCCTTCATAGATGCTCAAATTATTTGCCAGTTCTCTAAGTAGCATTTCTCCAGATTTTTGTGTAAGGCTTTATTATACCCTTAAACATATTTGAGGGCTTCATAGGGCCTTGGTTCATATGGGTTATTGAAATTGTAACTGGGAAATTTGAGTAATGTTTAAAATATTTTAACATAAAAATGCACTGCATATTAACGTAAGTAACATTTTTACTTAAAAAAAGTATGTTTTTTAAAACGAGAACGATTGTGAAAAGCGTGGCCCTGCTTTTGTGTTTTTGCCCGTCTCTTTCACGTCAGGCTGAACAGAAGCTCACACTTGCTTCTGCGTTCTATTGCAGTATCACACATCAGTAACGTCCGGAAAACATCACGGAATGTATGTGAGAGAAGGCAAATCACGTGTGGTTATGAAAATAGTATTCACTTTGCACACCCCTTGAAAGGGTCGCAGGAGCCCCTGGGAGGTTGCACACCCTAAACAGTGAAGGGCAGCAGCTGTTGGGTCCTCTCAGGGCCTGGCACAGTGCAAGTTCTCCCAAAGCATTTGCTGAGTGAATCTACCTTTTTGGGATGGGAGTAGGGACTCCTCCTTCCCTGGAGGCCTGTAGGTGCTGTGGAATGCATGCCCGAGAGGATGTGTTTCCATCCTGAAAATGAGCAGGTCCAGAGAGGACCCCTGGGTGGAGGGCACAGTGAGGGTTGAGACACGATCCCTGTGTGATGGCCATTTCCACTGGGCTGGGCTTGGCTCGCCTGCCTGGCGATTTTCCCCAGGACCTCTGTTGCAGCTCATTAACACAGCTCTGCTGTTACCTTCACAGGGAACCCACCAAGACCCACCTGGTCACATTCTTCCATACCGACCTCAGTGGTTACCTCCCCCAGAACGTGGTGGAATCCTTCTTCCCCCGCAGTATGACCCGCTTTTATGCCAACCTTCAGAGAGCAGTGAAGCAATTCCACGAATAATTCGATCGTTACTTGTTGGCAAAGAACCCCCGTGACTCATCAAGGAACTCCAGCTGTCAGGACACCAGGGAGCCTGGGAGCACCCGAAGGCCTGTGTTTACTCTTTGGACCAAGCTGATGGACTGCGCTTCTCTGAGAATGCCAACCAGAGGCAGCAGCCCACCCTTCCTGCCTCCTGCCCGACTCAGGGTTGGCATGTGATGAGCCATTAACGTGCTCCAAACTCTATCTGCCTGTTGTCCAAACATGCTCTCCTGGCAGGGTGGACCCATTCTTCCGACCGTCTGACCAGGACTCGGCCTGGACACCATGTGAGGCACTCTGGCCCCAATCCTTCCTTTGCCTGTCACTCTCAGAGGCCATGTTTCCCTGACTGTCATAGAGAATCACCATCGCCACTGAAAACCAGGCCATGTTGCCTTTTAAGCATCTATAGCTCCCTCAGTCCTGTGCTGCAGCACTATATCAGAAAAAACATATTTTTCTGATATCGACCTTGTATACGGCTTTAATGCTGCAAAAGATTTTTTTTTTTCCTTAAAACGGTGTCAACTTGAAAAATAATGGTATAAAAATGGGATAAGCATTAAGGAAAAACACTTTCAATGCCTCTTCCATTTGAATTTGTTTTCCTTTCTTTATCCCTTCTGAGCAGACTTTCATGTCCTCAGTGAAACCAGGCAGTGTAAATCTGTTCCAGGACAAATCAGCAGCAGCAGGGATGAGTTCTCCTTGGAAGTAATTCTGGACTGAGTGTGGACTCCTGTCTGCATGGGGAACTTGGGGAGAAGAGGCTTCTTTTTCTTTCCCTTGGGCATTTTCCTTTCCTTGTCCTCTGTTATGGAGGCAGAGGCAGGAGGTCTAGGTCCTCCAGACCATCCTGCCATCAGGAAAGATGGAAGAGCAAGCCTCCCGCTAGCAGCCCTGGCTGGAACTCCCCCCATCTAGATCCTGCTGCAAGACTGCAGAAACCCACAGGGGCCATGTCCACCCAGGCACATCATCAGAACCAGGGAGCACAGCCTTGCCACCTGGAAGGGGCCTCAGCAGCCACACAACTTCCTTTCCCTGTCTCTGATCCAGAGAAGGATCCTCTAACATTCCGTGGCAACCTCATGTGCACCTCCGCCACCTTCCTTGTAAGAAAGATGTGTCTTACTGAAATTCTTCACATCGCATTTATGCAGGTTACTGTTGTGTGCGTGGGGTATTTTCACAGTGTTGTCAGCCTTTGCTTCTCCAAACAGAAGACATTTCCCCTGTTACTGTAACTTCCCTGTCTTTGAGTCCTTAGGTGACTGTCTCTTAAATGTGCCAAGATGTGAGCAAGCCTTAAAACACAACAGGTTAGTGTTAAGGGGACAGAAAGCTTTCTCCTTCTGTGTTGTATTGCAGCTACAGATTGTGGAATCATGCCTAAGACCCTTTAGCTAACACCCTTTTCAAGAAATCATCAGACTCTTGGATTGACCTAGAATTCCTTCATTGATTCATTAAGTACTCTGTGGCGAGCAGTGTTCTATATCAAGTCCTCATGAGTTGGTGTGAGTTCAGCTGATAACAGGTGTGCTAGCCAAGCAAGCTTTCCTGCCTGCCCCCTCTGAGCTCCATACTCTGAAGTGGTCTTACTAAGATGGGAACGCCTTGTACAACCCTGCGTAGCCAAGTGGAAGGCCAGCCAACCAAGAGCACATATCACTGGGCCTCTGGGGCACAATGTGCCCACTTTGCTACTCCACGTGACTGCGTTAGGGTAGACTGGTCTGAGCCCTGGATGAGGAGCCAGAAGACATGCATCTAGTCCTAGCTCTGTCACGTGGGCTGAGTGTGCGCTTGAACAGGCAATGCATCTGCTTTGTCTTTGAAAGAAAGTATGGAGGCAGTAGTACCAGTCTCAGTGTAGCCTGCTTCTTGAGTGTTGACACAAGTGAGATAATGTATGAATCGGTAAGATGCTGGGCAAGACAATAAGTAGGGCTGCCTGGGAGAGTCCCAGGAGTAGATTGGTTTTCGTGGAAAGTTAAGACAGCTTCTCAGTTGTTAGTTGTGATGGCTGCAGTGTTTGAGGATGACATTGGCCTTCATCCTGTCAGCTCTGAAG